ATGAACCATTCGACAACACACGAAGCGGATGAAACGAAGACGAGAAAAATAGAAAGAAATGTACACACCTAATTAATGCACGACATCTCACCCAAAATTTATACATATTTGGCACGTTCCTTCGAATAGGCGCGAACCGAGGAATCGCTTTCACTTTACTCGACTCAGTTTATATTCGATTGGTTCCGTTAGATAAGTGCTCCTTATAGTACATTTACAAATCGTGTCGCCTCGAATCAGTCACTTTCAATTGTATACTCGACAAAGTCTCTGCTGATAAAGGACACCTGCTAGTACCAGTCGCTCTAAAAAAAGAATGTCCTGAATCAACAATATGTCGAAGACTTCAGTTGCGTCGAAGCCGTCGCAAAACCTACGATCCAATTCATCGCAAACACAATTTAAAAGAAAGCACGCCTTTCGAAAGATCATCGATACACCGCGGATCATTGTGGATAGATCGCGGAAGTTTATGTATTTATGGGACACGACTTTAAAATACCTGGCACAATGAAACGTGTGTACGAATGAAAATGAATCGTTTGCTTCACCTTCGGCGCATAGAATTTTTTAATATCAGTTTGTTCGTAAAATCAAACGTGGAAACAGACATTTGCATAAAAATCCACAGTTTGCGCACGCATTATTCTACAAAAATTGGAACAACGATATATATACCCCGCAGAGTAAACGATTCTTCGTACATTAAAGATAAAGATGTTCTCAATTTTTTGCTAACGTAATTCCCGCTGGTTCGCGAGACTCTGAAACGAATCTAAAGATATTTGTCGCAGTCGCGGCTCGTAGAACTCTGTGAAGGGGAAACGTATTTACAGAAAAATACAATAGCTCGCACCCTTCGCATAAGACTAGACATCTGCACGCACACAACCACAGACTGCTGTACTGTTCTACTCAATATTCACGCGGCGGCTTATTCTCTTTCCTCGCGAAAACAACGGAACACGTTTCTTAGGATAGCTCGGGAATCGTTCCTCCCTTTTTCTCCCGTTTCACGCCGATTCTTCCTGTTCCTGTGTATTATTTCGGTTTTGTTCTGTTACGCTACTTACGGTGGAAGCTCGTCATACAAACAACGCGGCATTCTTCGCGCATGTATACCGATCGCGGCGGTATCGAAAGCACGGTTACAGATTCTCGCTCGCGCGGCCGGCTTTAATTAACGACTTTTGTGCTTGCTATCTCCCTCTCTCTTTCTCTCTCACTCTTTCTCCCTCTCTCTTTCTCTCTCACTCTTTCTCTCGCTAGCTTTCGCTTGCTCGCTCTCTCTCTCTCTCTCTCCGGTGCGTTTATACAGGCGCGAGGCGGCCCAATTTCCAAAGGGGCTGGATCGGCGGGAGCGGCAAAACGCGTCCGCGCGACGAATGAATAATTATACTTCTTCGTGGGACTGCGTTTATCGTTATCGTTACAACCGGCTCGATTGCGATTTGCATAATACACGCGAGCACTGGCTGGAATTCGGGATGAGCTCTCCTTACCTCCGTTTAGATTATCAATTTCACGCTCGGCTAATTTATTTAATTTTTTCACTCCCGACTCCATTCTGTACCGCTGCTCTATTTTCTGTTATTTCTGCGTCACCTTTGTTTTATGTATCTGCAGGCTGTTCGGATAATGGAGATGGTTCATTCATCATGTCTGTTTTAACCAGAGTTAGGCAAGATTTTATTTGGATGACGAATAAGAGAAGAGAATTGACGAATATTATCGAATACCGGATATTATCGAATAAATGTACAATCGAATACAAATTTTTCTAGATAACAATTTATACAAAGATTTTATTTGAATAAAATTCATCTGAACAAGAAGTTATTTGTTACTCGAGTAAGAGAATATATTTATAGAGGAATTTATTGATTAATTTCTTCCATGTTAATTTTAACAATTAACTTTCCATACTTGCATGATTGTTATTCGAATAAAATATTCGACTAAAAAGAATTCATATGAATAGTTAGTTTAGATAAATATTTATTTGAAACAATTCGAAAAATGCCCAATTCTGGTTTTAACCCTTAGATAACGGAACATTTTTATAACTATACAATTGACCATTTTTATGACGATTCTTCGATTCAGTCGTCAATTTTTCAAAACATATCTTTGGAGATACTTTGTCTAGGACTATTAGTGTTTTTGTTGTCCCTAGTGTAACAGCTATTTATTTAATTCGCCGAAAATTGAATAATTAGGTGACGATTTATATACACTGAGTCAAAATGACCCGGTAACCGTAGTCAGAGGTTAATAAAGTCAAAAATCACTTTTGCGGTTTAATAATCTCTCGCGTGGTCTAACGTGGATTATTTTCAATTATCACTTTATCTATCGGCAGCTTCATAATAGTTCTTTTAAAATCGACAATCAAGACAATTTCTTAAAAAATTGTTCTAAAACCACAATCATCTAATCCACAATTCATCATAGTAGTTAGATCAGAGCTGTTCAACAAGCCTCACGGCGGGCAAGGACAAAGTTACGGGTCAAAGCTACGGACAAACATTTTAGCGGAGTGATGAAAAAAAGAGCGAATTGTTTTCGTTTTCATGCCAGCCTTTCTCTCTCACTTGCACGCATTGCCGTTATATGCTCATCGTGTGATGCTCATCCTGTTTGAAATCACCAATTATTTTACCGACAATGTTTTGTATGTCAGTATATAAACAATGTCGGGGAAATGCGGTGTCGCTGAAATCGTGTTGATGAAAACATTCTCGGTGAAATAATTGTTGATGATTTTAAGGTAACCCCTCTGTCACTGCTTCAGCCAAATACATAACGTGTTACTGATGGGGAATCGCACGAGAAGGTAAGGAAGGGACACCATTGCCCTCGGGAATGGGGCCTGGAGCCCGTTGATCGGCGTTTGCCTTGGAATGAAAATCGCTGCCCGTAGGGGCAAGATGTTGAACAGCTCTGATTTAGACTAATATTATGTAACAAGTTCTTTTGAAGTTATTATCTAAAACAAAATTATCGAACTTTTCTTAGAGACAGTTCAATTATTAAAAGGCCTACTAATAGGCTTCCGGTAAATAGAGTGTTAAATTGATAATTATCAATCTCGAAATTACAAGTTGAAAAATTTTTTGTATAATATTTGCATCATTCTTTTGTTTGTTCCACAGCATGTAAATTATGTTTGCCGTGTGTATCGATCTAATTCTCAGGATCGTCGACGATTTTTCAACAATAGTGACATATTTTTATCGTCGTATTACCGTGACTGATAACGAATTATTTTTAAACGTATAGATATGTTGATCTTAAAAGGGCCCTGCGTAGAAAATTCGTGATAATTTATGAACATATACAGAATTGAAGGCCAAGTATTTTAAAGAAGATTGACAACTAGTTTTAATGAATCTGAACAGGATGAATGAAAAAAAGTCGAATGTGAAGGACCAGGAATTACAGTCGATGAAAAGAATGTTATTAGAGAAACGTAAATAAATGTTAAGTGTGAAACTAGGTCCCATATCTTTGACCGTTAACGTAATTAATGAACGCAACTAAAGTCAAAGAAATATTTCTTTTATATCTAGTTCGTCGAACAATAAAAGACTCTTTAGTTATTAAATACAATAAGTTTATTCGTAATTACGTCACTAACAATCGTTAAGCGAATATTTTTGTGCTTCGGATCGTAAATACTTTCATTCTGAGTCATATCCAACGTATTTTACCCTAATATTATATTTATAAACAGCAACAAATTTGGCAGTCAGCTAACAGATTTAACACGGAGACACTCTGATTATGAATTTTTCAGCATTCGACTGGAGGTAAGTTGAATGAGAATTATACAATGTGTATCATATCCGATGATATGTTCATTTTGATATAACAAAATCAACGAAACAGAACATCTTTTGAATTTTCTCGTCCTTCGCGATAAATTTTGCTTTGCATTTATAGTTAGTATAGTAAAAGCTCTTTTTCCATACGCTTGTACCGATCTCTATAAACTCAGTCCGATCTTTTTGTCCACATTTCGTCACGAATCTAACGATCGTTTCAGACCTGTACTCTTCAATGTTCCTTAGAATTCATAAATTATATTACTACCTACAATTGATTCGGGATATGTACGGGTTCGTGTAAATCGTTAACGGTGATCAATTATTGCGAAGTCCCAAAGTAGCGGGGAAATAAATATTTCAAATGGTATCATAATTGATGCAACGGGAAAGCACCGAATTCATTGCGATACTTAAATAATCGATCATTCCTTCGATGATACCTACTTTCCCAGAAATAATTTCGACTTTCGCACATTTAAAAAATGCATGAAACACAGAAAATGCACGTAAACTGCAGAATATTAAACTTACAATTCTAAAGGCAGATCTGACAAATTGAAACAAAAATCAATCTATAATCAGGGTTCCCGGTCAACGAAAAATTAAACGAAACTCTGCTGAATCCTATGAAATTCATATTTAATCTTAAACATATCAGAATCCGCAATTCAGTGACTTAAATCAAACCATTAACAATTTAATAAATATAACTGTATAATAGATGGGAGACAGATATACCTGCTAGAGTTTCTCGTCTGAAAATTTCAACCAGAATATCGACGGCCAGGTATTTATATCGGTTGTCGATTACTCTTATCAGCGATCGTAATAATGCATCACATCCGTGGAACGAGCGATGGGAAAATGGGAAAGAAGAAGAAAAAACCAGGCTGGTAGAGTCGAGACGAGAATAAAAAAGCCGAGAAACCAAAGGCTGGGATTTAATAATTCTATCACCGTAACAGATCAGACAATCGACGGCTAGTATTGGAGAGAGTCAGAAGGAGAGAGAGAGGGAGAGAGAGAGAAANAATGTTATTAGAGAAACGTAAATAAATGTTAAGTGTGAAACTAGGTCCCATATCTTTGACCGTTAACGTAATTAATGAACGCAACTAAAGTCAAAGAAATATTTCTTTTATATCTAGTTCGTCGAACAATAAAAGACTCTTTAGTTATTAAATACAATAAGTTTATTCGTAATTACGTCACTAACAATCGTTAAGCGAATATTTTTGTGCTTCGGATCGTAAATACTTTCATTCTGAGTCATATCCAACGTATTTTACCCTAATATTATATTTATAAACAGCAACAAATTTGGCAGTCAGCTAACAGATTTAACACGGAGACACTCTGATTATGAATTTTTCAGCATTCGACTGGAGGTAAGTTGAATGAGAATTATACAATGTGTATCATATCCGATGATATGTTCATTTTGATATAACAAAATCAACGAAACAGAACATCTTTTGAATTTTCTCGTCCTTCGCGATAAATTTTGCTTTGCATTTATAGTTAGTATAGTAAAAGCTCTTTTTCCATACGCTTGTACCGATCTCTATAAACTCAGTCCGATCTTTTTGTCCACATTTCGTCACGAATCTAACGATCGTTTCAGACCTGTACTCTTCAATGTTCCTTAGAATTCATAAATTATATTACTACCTACAATTGATTCGGGATATGTACGGGTTCGTGTAAATCGTTAACGGTGATCAATTATTGCGAAGTCCCAAAGTAGCGGGGAAATAAATATTTCAAATGGTATCATAATTGATGCAACGGGAAAGCACCGAATTCATTGCGATACTTAAATAATCGATCATTCCTTCGATGATACCTACTTTCCCAGAAATAATTTCGACTTTCGCACATTTAAAAAATGCATGAAACACAGAAAATGCACGTAAACTGCAGAATATTAAACTTACAATTCTAAAGGCAGATCTGACAAATTGAAACAAAAATCAATCTATAATCAGGGTTCCCGGTCAACGAAAAATTAAACGAAACTCTGCTGAATCCTATGAAATTCATATTTAATCTTAAACATATCAGAATCCGCAATTCAGTGACTTAAATCAAACCATTAACAATTTAATAAATATAACTGTATAATAGATGGGAGACAGATATACCTGCTAGAGTTTCTCGTCTGAAAATTTCAACCAGAATATCGACGGCCAGGTATTTATATCGGTTGTCGATTACTCTTATCAGCGATCGTAATAATGCATCACATCCGTGGAACGAGCGATGGGAAAATGGGAAAGAAGAAGAAAAAACCAGGCTGGTAGAGTCGAGACGAGAATAAAAAAGCCGAGAAACCAAAGGCTGGGATTTAATAATTCTATCACCGTAACAGATCAGACAATCGACGGCTAGTATTGGAGAGAGTCAGAAGGAGAGAGAGAGGGAGAGAGAGAGAAAGAGAGGAAGAGAGAAAGAGAGAAAGAGAGAAAGAGAGAAAGAGAGAGGAAGAGAGAGGAAGAGACAGGGGGTAGAAAGAGGCAGAGAGACCGCGAACGAACATGCAGTGCTAACGAGATATCTCGTTAAGCCTAGACGGACAATCGCACGGCGGAGCTGTTCAACATGACGAAATCCATGAACGAGATCCACGACGATCGTCGTCCCTACTGTTACGCCCTACCCGATATTCGTCAGAATATTAATTTCACGTTCGTGCCACGGTTTCAGCGCCGACCGGATCCTATCGTGTTATAAATACCACGACGGTCGCTTTAATCTGAATAAACAGCGAATCTGTTCGCAGTCCCAGCCGATTTAACCCCTCCGAATAGCAAAATCGGGAAATCACTGTGTAGCCAGAGTCGCTAACCGAGTTTCTTGAGAAAGGCTGTTGTAACTCGCGGTAACTCTGGGCTTCTGAACTTCCCTAATGTTAGAAATCTGTTCTGCATCTTAACACTAAACCTACTGTGCTGGTCAGAATCACCGATTTCACGTTTTTCATTTGGAAATTGATGATTAGGAGACGATCGAATTTCTTTATTCATTTATTGATTGCAACAGAAAGGACAGAATGTCTAAATAGACGTTTTCCTTTTGGAAAATGTTGAAGTTATAAAGTTTCTTTCATTGGAAACGATCGAATTTTCTTAATTCGAGCATAAATTGTAATGGATAAAATAATATGTCTAAATAAACATTTTTCACTTGGAAAGTGTTGAAATTATAACTCTTTCCTAGAAAATGATTCAATTTTCTTAACTGAAGTAACCATTCTAATGATCATGGCAAAATGTATACTTTTCGAGAAGAGTTAATTGACTGTTTCCTTAAACGAGTATCTGATGTGAAAGTGCATTGTATATTGTAGAACTTGTAGTAATTTTGCTATCACACACAATATATGCACTTCCGAATAAGATACTTATTTAATGAAAGATTCCATTAATTGTGTTCAGAAGAAGTATTGAAATCTCTTGTTTATTTCAAATTGTTAACTATCCATGACATTTTAAGAAGAATCCCGTTTAAGAGGCTCTAACTGTGTTTCAGGAATCTTTAAATTAAATCAACGATTGAACTTCGTAATTTGTTTCCGAGCTGCAATGGAACTTTTATGTCTTCAATAATTTCCCAATGGAATATTCTTGAACATCTTATTCTTTCAAAACATTCTGAAGCATACAGGGTGTTTCACAGCTGCACGAGATGGTGTATACATCGTGTGTGTAAATTTGTCCAGTGAAATGGAAAGTTATGTAATTTTTGTTACCCTCTTCGTTGGGCTTTTTTTTATCCACCTTTACAGTTTCTTAATCTATACATCTATAGATATCTACACTATCAATTAGTTGGTTAATGTTATAATCAAGTAGGAGCTCTCATAGCGTCGCGCCATTGTGTAATCAAAATAATCAGCACCGGAGAAAATGAGTGCCACTTTTATTTCCTTAAATTGCTTTATGAAAATGCGAATTGAAATGCTCGTCAGTTAATCATTAGTTGTTTTTCGTTAGCTCTACAAGCACGAAACTTCGTTTCCACGCGCCTGATTTTAATACTGTTTCTCAATTTGTTTCTCGTTTCTGTTTGTCTACACGACTGGTTGGTAGCCGACAGAATACAGTAAAATATTTTTTGCTTTTATTCTCTCCGCGATTTTTCCAATATTCTTTTTTCTCTTGCGATAAAATAACAGTTTTCTGTTATAATCAATACTCCACAATATTCCTCAGCGAGAGATGATCGAAATGCCAACAATTTTCTTTAACAAAAATCTACTCGTTTTTCATTGCTTATTTTAATAAATATCAAGTGCAAGAAGGTCATGTCTGTGCTCTGTCTCTAACATTCGACTTTTATTCGAGAGGAACTTAAAGCGAGCTGTGTCATAAAAATACTTTTTATTATTGTCAATAACTTTCCTCCAAACAGTCAGTTATAGCTAATCTATCAGCGACTCATAGTGTAATTAACTTTTCATGTCCATTCTTCCCACTTTTTTCTCTCTTATCAGATTTATTATACTATACTATATATATGATCATGATATTCCATTATACCGCATTGTATTATCTACTTTGTATAACTAAGCTTCCACGTTTACCCCTATCTTATAAATTTTCTCTAGGTCTTGTTGGCTGCTAAATCATTCCTAACATAAATTCTAATTTTCCAAGCTTCGGTTTCATTAAAACATTTATTTTTCTCAGATATTTTAGGGGTGGCAGCTCGGCGGTGGACACGTCAAATGCCAAGTAGTAAATTCTTAATCATGGTTGTTTGACATTTTCCCCAATTATCTTATAGTATACAGCCTTTGGGCTATACTGAAAAAGTTTCTGTCACAAAAACAGCAATGAAAACAAAAAATTAGGTACATAATTCAGGACATAAAGAGTTAACGAGTGACACAGGTGTACGAAGCTTTGTATCGTGATTCCGTGAATACCCTGTACATTCGAAAGTGCTCTGAAAGTTTCTCCTAGTCTCATTCTTTTGTCGTAAGATCGTGCAAGTGGTGCTACATTAAAGTGCGGACTTACACGTAGGTCAGGTAGATTGCCAAGTAACAGGTGGATGCTGAAATTGCTGTAACCAGACGTGTCTTCTTAATTGGCGAGAAAAATGCTTACCCCGGGAGAATTTCAACTCATCGTTATTAAACTACCGTAGGCCTTAGAAAAACCTGCGGGATCCATCTACTTTCTGGACCATACTTTACACCACGGAAGCATGTTCTCAACTTTTGTTCTTTTTCTTTGCAATTAAAGGGTGCAGCTTGGTCCAGTGTGCTCGTTTAACGAACTTGTTTATGCTAAAAGATGCGCTGACGAAGTTATCTTATCGGTCACAAGAATTATACTTCGTAGTATACAAATTATAATTTGTAGTACAAAGATTAAAAGCCACGAAAATCTTTCATTAAAAATTATAAAACGGCCTATTGATGTTCACGGAGATGAATTTTAAAAATATCACGTTCCTTTTAAATCTTGAGATCAGAAAATAAATCGGAACAAATGCCAACCTTCACCGAAAAATAAAAATCAGAAACCTGAAACATAAATTGCGGATATTTATGCAATTTAGAAAATGAATACCACCTAGAAATGAAAAGAAAAGAAAAGTGAAACTAATTTATAAAATTATAGAAAAAATCTGCACTTACCGAAAGTCTTCTCGAACCTAGAGAATCGAATTTCACTTTCGAGAATACGTTTCATGGACGCAGTAGAGTATCATCGATGGAATGCCGCGATAGACTACAGACGTGTTAATGACCGGCGAAACAAAACTCTGTTACGAATCGGTTCCGCGTCGATGGATGAACAAAGCGAGTTCGCGATTATCGAGCCCGACGAAGGAAGAAAGGAAAATCATTGGCCGCCGTTGTTGGATCGAGAGCGTTGCTTCTTCTCCTCCGGTATAGTTGAACATTGTTTACGTGAGAGCAAACAGGTGCCAAGATGCTATCAGAAGGATACAAGTGGCGGGCGGTAGAATTTCGACGGAGGACCCGGCTGCGGAATCGCCGTCGAAGAATGGCTCGAGGGTCGAGCCCGTTTCCCGAAGGGAACCTTGGTACACGTGATTCAGTCTATGATCGCGATCACTGATCGAGTCGCTGGGATCCTCGTCCCCTCGTCGATCGCCGACTTTCTTCGAGTGGTTCGGCAGATCCATATCTAAACAGAAAGCGGTGAAGCACACAGTTCAGCGAAAGAGGAATCTCTTTTATCTGTGAAATAGAATAAGAGTAGAGTAGCCTAATTTGAATCTACTTTTATACTTAACAGCCATCTTGAGATACAAATGGCGTTGACTGATCATGAATTATACCTTTGAACCTGATACAATTGTGTATCTTGCAGTTGAGAAATTTTTGCGAAGTTAACATTAACATCAACAATTAGGTTCAACCTAGGCATTTTGATTTTTTAGAAATAAAAGCACTTGACCACTTTGTCAGAAAAGTTACAGTATGTTTCCTATTATTATTTGACGAATTGCTATGAGTTTATCAAATGTATTCAATGTACCAAAAGTTAGGATCTGTGCAGCGCAAACATCTTAACACACTTTTCAATTTCTGTTTCATCGCATTAATCACTTTCATGGAAGTTTTGAGATTGTCGAGATTCAAGATGATACTGATAACATGACTAAATATCCTGATATTGATGTTTCCAGAATAATCGAGAAAATTTGTTTCAATAACACGATTTTCGGCCAATAACCGAATTATTCATTTTATGATTAAACAGAAAACCGACAGCTCGAAATTGAAAGCTTCAGAAATACGTGGATTTGTTGTATTGTTACTGTATATGCATTTAGCAACTGCAGTTGATCGATATTAATATTCATTCACTGCAGTGATTGATAACCTACTGAATTGATAGACTCCATTTCCTGACTTAACTGTTCGAAACCGAAGTGCTTTTGCTAACTGGTTATCTAACTATTGGATATCAGATTACTTCGGGTGAGTGATACATGCCGATTTGCCTCTGAATGCGGACTAGCTTCCTGCTTATTAGCAACTGACGTCTGACTAATTGCTTACCGTGTTTCTTTGCAGACGTAGGTGTCACAATACCTCACATTCTATTCGTTGATGAATGTGTCAGTGAAATAAATGACAATAGAACGCCATGATAGTTTAGCCATTATGTCGTCGAACAATAGTTGCATATTTAACATTTATTTAGTACATATTCAGATATTCGAATTCATCGACTATTAGATCATAATATTATAAATAACAATTATGTTATCTTTCTTCGTCAAAGAAAATAATAGTCCATTGAATTTCTCATATTCTTTATTTCTATTTTGAGACTTTTTGGTGCTCATAATAAAAATATTCATGGAACCAATGAAATCTAGTAACCACAATGTTAGTAGTCTAACAAATTTTTATTTGTCTGTAAAATTTTCTCTGTGTTCCTGTCAAACAGCAAAATTATTCCAGATTCTTATTTTCTTAGACGACGATAAATTAATTTACATTCGAGGCATGGAAATACGCACTGAAATTATAAGGTCTAACGGCGACTACAATGTTCTAAGAAAAATTAGTAGAAAATCTCAGGTGTCGAGATAAGGGATAAATAAAAAGAAAAGTGTGACACGGAAATAGGAAAAACTTTGTTTCTGTGCGTGACGAGGTCGTTAGAGGAGGGATCGGATGATAACAGAAATGGTTTCTTTTCGGATGCATGACTCTTCCTGTTCGGTATCAGTGACCACATGGTTGTGCAGCCCGAGGCCTTGAGCAGTTTCACGCTCGAAGTCACAATGTGTAGAAGCGGGCTGTGTATCGACGGAAAAGAGGAAGCAAGAATTCCACTCTTTGACGAGGAATTCCTATAGTGAATTCAATTTATACATGCATCGACGTGTACACTACTCACACTACCGTCCGTTCAATGTCCCATGCAACAGCTTACAGGGGATGTTTCTGATCCCCTGGTTTCATAAAAATACTTCACTTTTCGCGCACCCTGCGACTGGTCATATTAAAAACATTTTTTTATGATTTTTACCTTTGTATCCCGGAATTTGTTTTATTGCGATCCCGTGATTCGGACACCAGCCAGAAATTTCATTTGATAAGCAAATATGGAGGAAACTTTCATCACTGATTAGTCCGAGAAAAATTCTGTACAATGTTATATCGTTTCTCATTAATCGAATTTTTTGGAATTTGTCAAGTTAACATGTTCCTGGTATTCATTTCGCGTTTCAGTTATCGTAGTTTATTTGCCGGTATTGTTCTACAGTGCTGGAGATTTAATTACATATACAGGGGTTTAATTCAAAACTGTTTTGGAAAATATAAAATTGAAAGTCCCGATCAAATTTCAATTGTTCGCACGGAATGAATGTTTAAATAACGCGATATCGTCGTGTGTTGGTGAAATCATATATTTCGGAGAAATATGCATTTTTTTTCTCGTTAGAATAAACATTTATGAAAAATGTATGCACGTAGTGCAAAGATTACTGTAATCATTATACATCGAGAAACATTTATATAAGTATTATAAATTTTACGTTCTAGTAATTTATAAGAATCGAAAATAAGAAATTCATCCAAGGAAATAATTTTTTTTCGGATCTATATCGAATAACTGAACAATTTGATCAAGCTATCTGCAGAAATTGTCCGATGTCTCAGTAAAAAAAAGAAAGGGAAGGAAAGGAGGAAAAAAAGCGAGAGGAAGTGTAATCTTCCATCGTGATAACGGAAGGGCCATGTGTTGCAAAATTGACACTCCAGAAATTGGAAAAGGCGAAATGGGAGGTTTCGTTCCTCCCGGCGTGCTCTGTCGATATTGTTCTCTCGAATTACTACTTCCGCGACGTAATTCACCGAAATTACAAAAATACAAGAGCAAACAAGCTCGCTTCTTCTTTTCTTTCTGTGGAATCATTCCGTGCACATTGGGAATCCGGATTTCTGAAAATTTTTGATACGCGCAACTGCGTACTCCCGAAACGTTTTTTAATCACATTTCGTGATCCATTTTTTTCTAAAACAATTTTGCACTATGTAACGAGTGGTAAACCGAAGACCTGTTTTTTCCCGCAAAAATACTGCAAATTGAAACGTCTCTAAAAACATTGGAACATTTTTTTCACGATTGAATCTGCCATAGATACGACGATTAAAGTTTCCTCTTTACAAACCTAAAATTTGATATACGATTTTTCTTTTGGTTGTTTTATTAAACTTCGAATGAAGTTACACCAGGAGGACTTTACTGGATCAAACCTACTCCTCATTTTTTTATATAAAATAATGAACAAAATTGTACTTCAATTTTTCAGGGACCAATGTAAAGGAGAAACTTTAATTTTTGAATCTATGGTACATTCAGTCACGAAACAAACTTTTTATTGAAACTAGAGACCATTCAGAAAGAAATCAGCTATACACTGCGAAAGTAGAAGATTCAAGCTTTAAAATGAGTTCAGTTTCATTGTCGTACGACTTTTTTCTATGATATTATAATATTTTAAATATGGCAAGTTTATGTCAAGGCGTCGTAATTAGTGGCGAAATTACACTGTTAACACCTTGACTACCATGTCACCCATCTGTGGGTGACAGAATCATGAAAAATTTGATGTTTAAAAATTAACTTTTACGCTAATCCATTATAATTTTTTAATTTTATTAAGATTCGCAAGAGGTACGCATGTCGAAAAAGTTTTATATTTTTAATTTTTCGTTTTTAATTCAATTCAATAAAATACTTTAATTTTATGAAATTTTTGAGGTTCTTGGCGCAAAGAACCGCAAAGAAGCCGTCAAAGTGTCGATCTGCAGGAACACTGTGTCGAACTGATAGGAACAGTACTAATATATGCAAAACACCATAAAGAATTCGGAAAACAAAATAGATTCGGACACTGAACATTTGCAGAGAAAAGAGAGCATTTTTCATAAAGGAATAGCATTATTTTTATTTCCAATAAAGCGAGCCGCTAGAACATCAGAACAGGATAAATGAGAGGAGAAGGGTTTGGAGAATGAAAAAATCTAATCCGGACAAGATTCGCGTCGAAAATTCTCCGGCTGCGTGTATCCATAAAAACGTAATCAGCAGTAACGAGCAATTTGTAGGACGGATTCGATTTATTGCGTGTACAGTTCCGTGATCGGTGCCGGTTTCAGGGCAGATGTTGCGGAAGAACGGGTGTGCGAGGACGAGAGAACTGCGCGAAGGGAAAAGAAATCGCAGAAGGTGGTGAACGCTCGTCAAACGACGAGCATCGGGGGTGGGCGAGGGGTGGTTGCCGGCTAAGGGAGAGACACGGGAATCGGGGCGAGAACGGGGCACGGGGCGGAGAGGGGGGGGGGAGTGAAACGTGCGGCAGCTCGTCGAAATAGCAGTTTAGCACTGATAGCACTTGGCGGACTTTTATCGATCATGTCTGGCAACAGATGGCTCACCCAATTCCCGGCGGCGCGTTTTGTCTGGCTGGCCTGATAAACGATAACTAATACGGAACAGAAGAAGCGGCAAGACCAGCCGGCAGCAAGAGAAAAGGGAAGAAAGATGTAGCGCGCGGTAGGATGGCCCGATGGCTGCGATATTGTTTCGCCGACTTTTAGACCTTGACGTGACATGCCAGCATCTCGCCACCGCCGTTCCCACCTACGTACGTGTTACACCGGCGCGTCCCTCTTTTCTCATTTAACCACTTTTCTCGTTTAACACGCGCCACCCTCGCACCGTCTACAAGGTGCGTTTGAAAGCAAGATAAGCGTGAGGAATCGGCTTCCGCGGCATTCTTAATTTTTTTTGCGCGCGTGAAACAATGTTATTTGACTACGATACAATTCTGCAAGATTTCGGATCTCTACCCTTTCGTTTAAAGTTGACGTGAAGTACGAACGTTGCTCTTTATTTTCTCAGTTATTAGTTAGGAATATTTAGCTAAAATAAAAGCGGAAATGGAACTGCAAACTAACTTCATTTAAGATATCTTTCTCAGAATTTTAAATCTGTTATTGAGGCTTGTGAAAGATAATTTATTTTTCAGGGCTGGTTTTCGCGAACAACCCTTTGATTGAGCATTATTAAAAAAAATTAAAAGAATAATGTTGCGTCACGTATCTATTGTGTATAAAAATTTCGAGCTAATCGAACTGGTGGAATATCGTTTTTTA